ACAGACAAACAGCTTGTGGAGCTCATCCATGTCAAAGCACTGGATGTTCTCAATGCCCATCAGCAAAGTAAACACAGATACCAGTCTGTCACACTGTTTCTCAGAGGTAGGTTTATATCAGACAAGTTTAGAGTGTGTGTATGTATATATATATATATATATATGTAGTAATTTATCAGATATTTATTGTGATCTATTAAATTATCTGATAATTGCAACATAAATGTTAGAGAAATCTTACATCCCATTTTAATCCGGAAGAGGTGAGGGTAATGTGTCAGCAGGTGAAAAAAAGTGCACTAGCAGCATGTATTACAACACATCATGATCAGCATAGATCAAAAACACATCACAATATCAAAGGTCCACATAAGAGCAAATCAATCATAAAACAACAAAGAATACAAATCATAATATAAACAGTACAGAGTGTAAGGACTTTCATAAAGTTCACCTGATCTGCTTTTTCAAGCAGGACTTGATCTCTTTGTGTTTCTTGGCATATTCAAGTCTCTTTTTACATCAAAGAACAGCTACAGACACAACACAAGAATGACTTTTTTTCTAAATAAATGGTGAACTAAACAGCACAAAATTAGTTCTTCTCCCTCTGGTGGAGTGTAAGTACACATCCCTGTTATATTTTAGAGTCCATAAGGTGATTTTGAACTTTACAATAAACATACCTCTAGTAAGAACTTATTTGATTCCTCCACTGTGTTTTCAGCCTTGAATCATCTAAAGCTTTTGTTGTAAGAGTCTTAGCAATGAAAACCCCCTGGTTTATGTGTTATGAGGTTTGACAGTATACTGCATGACAGCTAAAAGTTGTTCTCTGATGGAGACTGTCCATCAACCAATGAGCAGGTCAAGCATTCATGTCTGCTGAAGAGTCCTTGACAGGCCTGACCAGCTTCAGAGACTCTGTTGTGTAGTTGAGTCTATTCTGTGAAGCACTCGTTTTGTTTGCATAGTATAGAACAAAATAGTAATTTGAGTTTTACTTGGTTAAAAGGCTCAGTTTCATTTATAAAGGACATATTGTACTATAGATTAATATCCACAAAATTGAATAGTGTAATATTTGTTTGTAAAATCTTATTCTCATCTGTTATATTCACTCCCAGTCCTGAATAATGTGGTTGTAATAGGTTATGTTTACACCCAGTCAGATGTATTGAGGGTTCTCATTAATTTTCTCTGGTTTTCTAAATGAGGCTAACTTTGGAACAAAAACTTAGTGGGGGAGAGTTCAAATAAACAGATTTTTTGTGCAGCTAGCCGCACACAGTGCCTCAAGGAGGGATATTAAGTGTTTCTGTCCCCTCTAATAACATTGTCAAGTCGGTACCCCTGAGAGCTTAGCAAATCTCCGCACCAGAATTAACATATTCTGTTGACCCAGTCCTGGTGAGGAATTCAATACACAGGGTTCCCGTTACTAAACATATATGTTAATAAGTGCAAGGAACACTCATTAGCTGGCTGTTCAATTCGCACACAGAGAAATCTTTGTTCTTATGGCCTCACTGTGTGTTTCTCTTGGCAGTGGTTTGTAGGTGGCATGCATGTTTCTTTAATAATCGCTAGGCAGTGGAGAACAACCCCTTTGAGTCTTATTGCTTTGTTTCCCCTATTCACATAGATGAGCTGTGTAACTCGATGAGAATCGGTCGACTCTACAGGGTGTTAGGCATTCCTGTGCATGTGCACCAGTGGCCCAACATTACCTGGAGTGTTGAGGCAAATAGCGTCCGACTGTGGGAGCCAGAGTGTAAGGCAGTAAATGATCTCATATTAAATCCTGCTTCAAATCAACAGAAATCCCTGGCACAGACATATTGATAACAGATATGAATCTCAACACTTTTTGATACGGTATATTCTGATTAGTCTACATGATTTTCATATGTTATATGCAACATCGTGCATAGTTACCATATTGAAATATCTACCATGTCTCACAATTCTACCTACAGATCCCCATAAAGTCAGTGTCAGTTTCCAGGAGCTGTTGAAGGCCACAGCTTCTTCTCCCTGGAGGTTCCCAGCCATTGTAGCTCACTACTTTGGGTTGGACATGGCTCCTCCAGGCTTTTACAACACACTAAAGCTGTGTTTGTTGCTCAGCTTGGTGCAGACAAGAGCAGATGCAAAAGACACATTTCATTACTTGGATCTCCTAGTTGTCACCACTGACACTCTCATACTAGACAGGTAAAGGAAAGTTAAGTGATTTGAATTAACGCAACTTGGTGCATTCTAAGTGGACCAACTGCATACAGAACCTGAGATTTAATTTTTGTCATTATCCGCCACCCTTTGTGTTTGTGCTAGACTAATGGCATACAGCTTGGGTTTGGCATGTCGTGGGGTCAGACATCAGGCCTCAGGGGAGATGTTTGCATCTCTGTCCCGGGACGAACATGGAGCAGGCACTGCCAACATCCATGCTGGGTCTGCCCTGCTAGCTACTGGGGGCATATGCATGTTGGGAGATCTTGGCTTTTACAAAAAGGACAGGTTGGATTCCATTCAGTCAGGTATAGCACCAGAGTGATTCATATATGATAATAAATTATGGCCCTAGGTAAAAGGAGAAGAGTCTGTCAGCTACAAAAATGATGGATAATTTCTACAAAATACAGTAACTGGTGTACTTTCCTCTTATGACTTTTTCTCAGTTCTGGAGGGCCGCACAATGTCTATGTTCATCCCGGGGAAGAAGTATGGCGAGGATGCTGACCAGCAGCTTTCCTTCCCAATCCAGTGCAGCTTCTGGGCCCTCACAGACCCCTCTCAGCGGTCTGGGAGGGCAGACTGTGACGTACTGGGAATAGCAGTGAGTCCAATCACAATACAGTGTTGTATTACTATTGTATAGCTCACTTAAAACATACTCTGAATGTGGACTATCAGGTCTAAATTGAGATTTTTGTGGAAAATACATTGTCTCTTATGTTGATGAAACTTAAGCTTGTGTTGCACAGTACATTGAGCTCAGAAAATGTCACATCTCATTCAACTCAGATGTTGTTTGTAGACAGCACAGGCAAAACAGGAAACTGAGACAATTTACTTTTCTTGAAGGAAGTGCCCTGCCCAGAAAACATTACTTCACAGCAGAGCCCTTGAGAATAATCATTGCTTTGTTTTTTTCTTTTGCAGGGAAGAGGTAGACAATAAACTGTATAACTAGTCAAACAGAGGTTTCTTTAGAGGTTTGTCTCATCATTTTAGAATGCCAGCAGGTTACCACTTTGAAAACAGCACATAAGACAGCTTTTCGATGTCCTGTCTCTTCTTTGTGAGCAGGAAATGGGTCCCGTACCAATTCAGTTGGCAGATGCCTTTGGCCTGGTCATTCAGTGTAGGGATATGATGGGAGAGCAAACCCTTCTTGCCCAGACTGTCCACACCCTCCAGCAGGCAGTGCAGCCTGGAAAACCCCTCTACCCATCCTGCTGGGGGTTTTCTTCTCAAGACTACCAGGAGGTTAAGAAACATTTTCTCTTTTCTCTTGCCACGTCCTTTGTATTGCTTTTTAATTAAAATACACAGCCTTAATTTTCATGCCTATATATTTACCTTAAATTGCAATTGCTGTTCTCAATTCTATATCTCCCAAGCTGTTAGCCCACGCACAAAGTTTACAAGTGGAGCTTAGTCCTGGAGCAGAGAAGATAATCCACGGTTACTACATGGCGAGCCGTAGAGTCCGAACACAGAGTCAGGGTGTCAAGATGTCTGTGGCCTCTATCAAACTACTGTAAGCACTCTACTGCAAAATTAGACTAAATAATTGCTGTTTTAATATTCCATCTTCCCTTTCTGCCTCACAACTAGACTAAAGAGATCAAGAGTCAGTGTCCAGTGTAATGTCACTATCATCCACTAGGTGGAGAACTCTCACCCAAGCCACATCTTCAGATGACTATTTTTCATTTGGTTATGACATATGTTTACAAACCTTTTTCACTATGGTGACATATTTTATGTTGAACTAAAACTATGAAAATAAATCTGTTTTCAGTTAGACTTCAGGAAGAAAATGTCAAATTATGTACTAATTTTCAAAATATTTACATGACCTGTACCACTTTTGATGAATTTATCTGTTGCCATCCTACTTGTTACAAATTTAAACTACTTTTCATTCAGTGTATTACTTGGGCAACCGTTCATTTATAAATGGTCCTTTTCATGGTTTTTATTCAAAGGATCTCTTTGGCTGAGGCCCACTGCAAGTTATGTCTCAGGACACGTGTGCTGGAGGAAGATGCTGTGATTGCTGTGCTCCTCTGTGAAAACTCTGTCACTCTCAAGCATGGTACATCTTTTTTCCAATCACCACCCTGCCCTTCTCACTGACACTAATAAACAGTGTACTTACACTCAATCATTCCATCATGTTCTATTAATTTTCATTATGTAATTAATGCAATTTAATGCTTTTCTCAACTATATGGTTCTGTTTAGAAGTATGTCATTTAATAGATGCATATAAAATACATAAGTGGCCATGATTATTTATTGTTTTTCAAAAGATGTCCATCTCTTCTTACAGGAGCCTCTGCTCTTGTTATTCCACCTGATGCAGTGTTTCCCTGTGACCTGAGAGATGTGGAGGGTTTGCACAGGAGAGACACGACCCTGGATGAGCTACACCAGAATATCCTGCGCTTCATTTACACTTACGCACCAGGAGCAGAAACATACATCACAGAAGAGTAGGACCTCTTTGAAGATCCAAAAACACAGGTAGGCAGAACAAGATCACACTAACCATACACCACAATAATGACCATGGGTGTTGTTCCTTTCATAGTTGTATATTCATCGAATCGATACAGGTACACAAAAATACCGTGAATTGAATGCAATGCTGATAGAAGGATGCTGGTAATAGGTGACCAAGATCTGAATACATATTTGGAAGGAAAAAAAAAACATCTAAAAACACAAAAATATGCAGAATAATTCAGAACATTAAGTCAAGGCATTTTTCTTACAAATTTTATTAAAAAAAAAAAAAATCTGTTAAGTCAGGTCTCTGTCAACCTGTGACCCCATCTGCTTCAGCAACACTGTAAGAGACATGGAAAAGACATTCAGACAAACGAGGCAGACTGGAGGAAGACAAACTAAACTAAAAGTAACTAAAATGTCAACTAAATCTTAATACACCATTAGTGTTACAAGTTTACAGGGTTTGGGGGTCGATACTTACCTTTCAAATGAGGTTTTCCCTTAGACACCTGGTCAATCAACTGGCTCTGTAACCTTGCCAATAAATAAATAAATAAATCAGTTTCAGTCAAAATACAGTGATTTCTACAGAGTCACAACTTTGTCTTAGTTCAGTTAGTCACATTCTCAGCAGCCCATTTTGGTCTGATGGGTAAACGGCGAAAAGGTGAACTCATCATTACTATTTAAAGACAGGAAATAAAGCAGCGACATGAACCGGCCACTTCAAATGCAAAACAGTGAATACATTTTAGAATTGGACTTACTTACCAGGGATGAGATGAGGATGACGCTCATGTGTTTGCTCCATTACAGCGGCTGCTTATCTGTTGAATATGGAAAATGAATGTGTTAGTTCTATACACAGCTGTTTCTTCTGTAAATGTGAAACCTTTGTTGTAAATACATTAAGTCAAGCTCACTGGGACAACAGTGTTGTAGACAAAACTAAGGGTGCAGCTGGTAATTCAGTAGTCACAATCTCACCACTGTGTTGTCTGATGGGTAAACGGCGAAAAGGTGTACTCATCACTATTCCAGCTTCAAAAGTTTCTAGTGCTCAATGTTTGAAAAAGATCTAAGACTCAGCACAGCATTAGCTATGTCTAATATCTCTGCCTCAGATTTAAGTTGATAAAACTTCAATAACCAGGTTGGGAAATCTTTAACTAGGCAGGGCAAGTTGAGCAATGCCCTCTAAAGTCATTCTACCAAAATCATTTAAAATACAACAATGTTGTTAAAGCAGCATAAATGTTCAGCGGTGCAAGAAATAAATTGTAGGAACTCACCTCCTGATCAGCACGGGAAACAAAGGATTAGATCAGGTGCATCTCCTGTCACCATAGATGCCTCAGATAACATGCTAAGGGGAAAAAACAAGAAATAACAGGATTGAGATTAACTTCTAAAAAATCTACATGCCATTAGCCACGTTTTGTAAAAACCAGTCCCGACTGATCTTATGCTGGTGATTCAGGTAGTCACAGTTTCACCACCTTATTGTCTGATGGGTAAACGGCAAAAAGTGAACTCATCACTGTGCCAGCAGCAGGAATGCCCTCTAGCCTAAAATCATCACTACACAAAATCAGTCCAACATTTCAGCACTCACCTTAAGGTCCACACAGTGAAGACCAGCATTTCGCCATCTGTAGTTTGCGGTGGTAGCCTGACATCTAAAATAAAAAGATCATTGAGTACACAGATTCCACCATGTATGTGCCCTCTCCTGAGCTGATTATAACTTGTCTTTAAAATTTATTTGAAAACTAGCATGCACCTTAATGTTACCATATCAGGTGTGCCGGACATAGCTGGAATTAGCCATCTTCATCAGCACTCCTAAAAAGACAAAAGTCACACATTTAAATTCGTATACATTTTCAATTTTTATAGTTAGTTTCAATACAAGGTCATCCCTTCAGACAGCCATGATTTTACCCCACAAGTCTGTCACAGTAACCTAACCAATCCTCACAACTAATTACTCTCTGGAGTGCTGTATTGATTTTCAGCTTGCATGAATAAGATGTACTGAAGGAATAGCCAATATGGTGACGACTTTTGACTGATTACATGAAGGTCAGAGGGTACAATGTAACACAGCTTGGGAGCACGGCTAACATCGCAGGTCTGAGGACGGGTTCAACAGCAGGTCACGACCTCTGCCATGACCTTACGTTCTCAGCAGGGATCATGATGACTTTCCACAGTGAAATAATGGGAGAGGGCAATTCCCTGACCAGCCGCTGTTCTGCTGACCTCTGGACAAAACCAGATATGGACAGTGCTGTAAGAAGCCGAATGACACAGAGGGCGCTTTTCCCTTTTGAACTGTCTAAAAGAATGATTTATTGCATTGCTTAAGGGATCGGACCTGTCTGTAGTGAGACATCGAAACCGAATTACTGGTGGGTCAGTCTGCCGTTGTGGTATATGTGTAGCGTGGAATTAGTTTTTGTACCGACATGTATGCCCACATGTGCAACAACACCTTAAAATGAGATGTGATTCCATATCAGACGTGATACGGGCCGAATAGGGCATTTTAATAGTCAATATAACATTAAATACCATTCCAACTCCACGTGCGTCACGATATACGTCCTTACATCATTGACGAGCGGAGAGAAATTAACGTGTTATGCTAAATGCAAGATACCAATAATGACTGGCTTTGTTACAAGAGCAAGATGAGAAACTTCATCGTAAGTATTTGAATTATTAAGAAAACTATTACAAGGCAACTGTAACACGTGCTCCTCTTGTCCACGTGGTCGGAATGCTAACTAGCTCTATGCTAACTACCCACAGCGACGTTCCAAGAGGTAACTCCGAATTAGCTTAGAAGCATATTAAGGAATTGCAACATTTTAAACTACAGAAACATAAACACCAATTTCGCCATTGCCTACCTACGTACTGAAGATTAATCTTGCAGAAGTCATCGTTAAGTTAAGACGTGGGAGGAAGCACGACCGCTCGCCACGGTCTCTCCAGGACAAGAGGGAGAATTTCCGGTCCGTCCCCCAGTAAATGCGCCTCGGAGCTGCGCACTGCAACACTTGAAGTGCACAGCTGAACAGTGACTCAGTAATCAGCACCAACCACCTCCGACTTTTTGACGCTTATATTTAAACTACAGAAATAACCAATTCATGCATTCTCTCCATGTCATGGCATATAAGCACGAGGTTTGTGACAAATTAGTGATCTATGGTGGATTTAATAGTTAATTTTATTTTCTTAAACTGACTACATTTAAAACATACACGAGTCGTCTTGCCCAACAATTTGCATACCTACAACCTCATTTCCTTCAAACTGTCTAGACTAAACATATAGCAACTGCCCTTACTCTTTCTCCTTAAAATGTTGTGATTTGCCCATGCATTTAGCAATATTTGAAAAAGTTATATAATAGAGTCAGATCAATTAATCCAACAAAATTAAATAAATGAAAATTGAGTGATCGAGTGTCGATTGAGTGTCGAATAGACACAAGCACCATCATACCACTTCTGGTTCCACTGAAATGTTACATTGTTGAAATGTTTAATGTAGCTACATAGGTTCATTTTCTTATTTAACTCCATTAAAAAGTCTGTTGTTGATTTGTATAAATATAGGTAGATATTTCTTGTTTGCTTTCTTTTTAACTTTAAACACAGCTGAAATATCTATTTTTCTTTCCTTCTTTTTTTGACGTTTAGCCCAGTGGATTTCTAAAGTCAGCGCTAACCTATCAGCCTAGAGGTGTATTATATATTCTCCAGCCAGGTGCAGTAATTGTGCTGCAAATTAATTTCACTTAATTTCACCTGTTAAAATCTAATTCTTTGTTTAACCTACAAGCAACCACAGCTGACCGCCTGAATGATAAATTGATTATGAAAAATCTTAAATGACCAGCAAATATATAGCTGATAACTCGGTGTTGAATAAATAAAGCATACTTCTACTACTAGTAATAATAATAATAATAATAATAATAATAACAATAATAATAATAATAATAATAGTAATACTCCTACTACAACTAATGATAATTATAATAGTAAGTATAATAATGATTATGCCCAGACAAACTCAATTTGGGCTTCCAATTATTGTACGTTTTCTTTTTCTTTTTTCAAATATTCCTAATTGACAAAAGGGCATTTTCATTGATTATTTATAATCGTCAGAACCCGAAGAGACTCGTCTTCTTTCACTGAAGTCATTTATTCACAAACACATTTACAACCATGCATGTAAAAATAAGAAGGAACATGAGATGAAGAGCCTCTATTGTTGACTCTCTGACAGACCACTTCACATGACAGATGTTAAGTTATTCACACATGCATTTAGTGCAAATGTTTCAACTCAAAGTGCACACCTCAAGCATGACGGGCTCGTTACCCCATGGAATCTCTACAAATATCATACCTGGGACATGTATGGAACTGCACAACGCAGGGCAAACAGGATTAGCCAAAATAACAACAGAAACATAATGAATGCTTTCTCAAAATTTTTACAATATAATTCACACAATATATTAATTTACAATGTCTTCCTATTGGTAGGGCTTATTGGAAGTGAAATCAGGAAGGCTAATTGTTCTACAATCATAAGACATATGCTGCTGCCAAAGTAAACAGCATGAACTCATGCAAATATGAAATTGTTTCATACAAATTATTTAAGCCTATTACTGGGAGGAGGACGATGATGGGCCTTGGTTCTCTGACTCTGAAGCAGTTGTGGTGTTCAGGAACTGTCCGCTTGCCCCGACGTACAGTCTGGATCGCATTGGCCATTTCTGTGGAAGATAATTAATATGTTAATAAAAAAATCTAAAATACTACCGAGGATGTTGTTGCATGCTTTCAAATTTTGTTACATAATCTATATGGTAAGAATTACTGATTTTTTCTCTTTTCCAGTTTAAGCTACAGTGTGTAGTGAGAAGTTTTGTTCAGAAATTGTTTATCAAAAATAATTTAATAATGTTGTCTATATTGACAAATTGGCAACAAAAACGAATCTAACAGACCTTTATTATTATTATTATTATTATTATTATTATTATTATCATCATTATTAGTATTATTGTTGTTGTTGTTGTTGTTGTTGTTGTTGTTGTTGTTGTTGTTGTTGTTGTTGTTGTTGTTGTTATCACTGACCTTCACTGGGTGCAGGTAGCCTTCACCTTTCAAAGAGTGTAATGCCTCTGTTTGTTTTGTGCTCTCTCCCTCCTCCGTGCCTTCCTCCTGTAGTGTTCGAGTCAAATGGGCAATATAGGTGGTGGCCAGTATCAACACGTCGAGTTTGGACAGCTTGGTGTCCGGCGGCACTGACGGCAAAGTCCTTTGTAGCTCCAGGAACGCGTTTCTCAGGGTTTGCACTCGGCTCCTCTCCCGTGCTGCGTTAGCTGCTGCCGGGCGTCCTCTGCCGCCGAGCCCGCCGAGCCCGCCGGTCTGGAGCACCCTGGCCCGCTGGAGTTCTCGACGACGACCGTCCGGACTGGGGCTGGAGCTGGGACTAGATGCAGGGCTATCATCCACCACCGCCCCGGAGCAAGTACCGCTGTCCATTCGGAGCGTCTGTCTTCCAACCATCAGGGTGCACTTATAGTCCTGAAGATTTATATTACAAACACACGTCACTTTAAGTAGTTTAACCAGGTCGTTTTATGGCACGTGTTATTTGAACTGAAGTTATAACTGAAAAGACTATTTTAGAGACAAGTTATTAATTATTTACTTATACAATTGTTCTACCTTTAACTTAACTTTGAACTTGTTGGACTTAACTTGTCGAAATCAACAGTTTTAAAGTTGTTACATTTGCATTATTTATTAAACCATAACTTAAGTTTTCATTATTAAAAATGTCTGTTGTCAAATTGCAGGGTGCTCCAAATTAAACAGATAACACATTCCAAGTCTACAGCTCATCCCCAAAAAACAAACAAAACGTGAAAAAGCCAAATGACAGAACAGACAGCTGTCCATAGCTACACCAAAGACACCCAAATGTATGCTGATTGCTCAGTGGCATGTCAGAAGACCTGCAGTACAAATGAAGTGCGTGCCAGGAATTTTGCCAAACTCATAAGAACAGTTTCTGGTTGATGGTCTGATATGGAGTTTACCTCTGGTATTTCTCAAAGGCGCTGTCTTGAAAAACGACATGAAGGCAATCCAAAGAGGGCTTCGATAGGACAGAGAATTTGCTCTTCGCTCTAGTCCCGGTCGACGTCCAGCTTATCCTTATAAAGTGGTGCGTCTGCAGAAAGGTGCGCAGCAGTCCCTGTATGCGCATCCAACACTTCACCTGTGTGCGTAAAACTCTCAGGAGCCCTTAATTTATTGGATACACAAAGCGGTGGACAAGTATTTCACTCCGACGTAATTAATCACTCGCCCCATAACACTCCCTCGCAATAGAGAACACTGCTCTTTTCCCTTTCCTAACTTATTTCTGTCTGTGGGCAGCAGAGGCTCGTTTTCAACGCCAGAGGCAGAACTCTCTTTTCCTTTAACACTGATATGTGGTAGGACATACCCCACTCTAATTGGCTGAGAACCCGACACTGTATTTTTTTTTAAGCCTATCAAAAAGTGGTAACGGGAAGAAATTTAGTCAAAATTACCTCAAAAATGTCATGGTCAAAAATAAAGACTACTCTTTCAAAACGCAATTTGCAATGGACCATGAAGACAAGCTGACAAGCGTAAGGTGATATGCAAAACATTTGACTAATTGCCAGGGTGTCTTGAATTGCAAGCTCATTGGAACAGCTAATAAATAAACCCCAGCACTGCAATCAACAGGCAGGCATTGAGGAAATTCTTGCTAGACTCATAAATTAATCACTCTGATTTCCAGGGCTCCAAACGGAGATGTCGGCAAATTAATGAAAGGAATTATTCATAATATGTATATCCTAGGACTGTTCTTAATAAACATTGTTTTTGTAGGGATGGAGTAACAGTATTGCTCCCGGCCACTAATTATAAGGAGAAGTTAAAGAAGGTTAAGTAAGCTTGTTTCCCTAATTACCCTGCATCTTTCAGGGGTTACACACCCACGTGGATCCTTAAAACTCATTCAAACATTTAGCAACAACGATGACAACAAATAGATCCGTTACTGTATTTGCTATAAAAGAGGGCTGGATCATTGATCACAGTTGTTTGAATAGAAGCATATGTTGTTAGCTTTGGATAATGTAAAGCCTTGTAATAGTAGGGCAAAGTGATCATTTAGATCGTGCCACTCTGAATCTTGTGGATCACTTATTTACCAAATGCATGCAGAAGAAAAATTACACACACTATATCAGCAGTAACAGTTTGAGTTGGATAAATTTACTTATATCCTCAGACCCAAAAAATGTAATTAGAAATGAACCAGCTGTGAAAGTGAGTGGAAGTGTGCAAACCATTCATTCATTGTTTAATTGTTTAATTTTTTTCAACAATAGTAGACAATTTGAGCCCCAGTAACCCATTTATAACAATGCAGATTTCGTTATATACATTTTATCTTTGCTATCATTATCATTTTAACATTTTAATGTGTTGTTGAAATCAGATAAGGCAGACTATATAATTCATGAGGTCAAGAATACTGCAGCTAAGAGTTCCTGGACATCACACCAGGCAGACGACAGTGATTGTTCTATGACTTCCTTAATATACAAGGATAAAGGATCTGCAGCTGCTATGACCAAGTTGTCTAAATAAAGCAGTAGCACTGTTAGTCCTGTTAGGGCTGTGGGTGGGGAGTTCATGGATTTGCAAGGTTTGTCTTAAGCATCCACATGACTGCAGATGGCTGAGGAGAAAGCCACATGATTGAGAGGCCCAATCATAGGAATCTTTAATTTTTGCACCCTATGAGATCAGATAAAAACAAGAGGAAGCATTATCAGATTATGGGTCAACAATCATAGAACTGTTCTCCCTCAAAGACTGTGGCCTAAAATTTAGTACATATTTAATAGAGATTGACAGCACTATTATGATATTCCCATTACATAAATAAAACTGTTAATCAAGACAACATAATCACAAAATAGAAAGTTATTTGTCAAGCAGGAAGACTGAGGGAAATAAAAATAACTGATACTATAACACTGATCTAAAAAACATTTCTTGATTTTGGGGAGAATTCTGAGAGATCAAAACCTATTAACATCATCAGAAAGAATTTTGATCATTTCGTCATATAACACATCAATTCTGTAAAACAGCTGGTTCTATAGTTGAAAACATATAACATTATTTTATGTCTACAAAAGCAAATAATAAAATAGAGCCAGGAAAAATGTCTACTCTCAAATTAACTGAGATCCATGTGAACTGGACCTGAGAGGCTGCTGCGGCTTCCACCTCTGCATGCTAGGATGGCTGTAGATGTGACCAGGATGTGGACCCTGACCCATGTTAAAGTCATCTGGAATATAAACAAAGTCAAAGTTATACATAGAATACACACACACAAATTCAAATGTGTCAAAACTAACCCAGCATAATGAAGTAAAGAATGATGAAAGTGATGCCAGCAGAAAATATTGTGAGTCTTTAAAAATCCAGTTCACACTATTTTTGTGGTTTCCAAATTATATTAAAGAAGTATATAAGGATGTAGCTATTTCTCAGTATTGTCAAGTATTATCAAACTTCTAATACATGTAAATAATCAATACATCACTAAATCAAAGACATTGCCGTGCTAAAACAGAGGATAGCAAATAAAAAGCAGGACAATTAAAAAAGTACAGAATTTACTGACTTACTTGTTAAGGGTACAGACAGCATGTGTGTCTTGTTTTTTTTCTTCTTGGCCTCTTTAGATGCTTTCCAGTTAATAAGGAACTGTCTGGTTAATTCTTTAATTTCCCTTCCATCGAGAACCTCTGCAAAAATTAATAAATAATTTAAACAAACAAAAGAAAAATTTGAAATTCAAAAGTGAACAGTATATTTTTTTCATTTTACCATTAAGTGAAGATAGATTTAAAAAAAAATAAAATAAAAAAATAGTCTTGGTAATTCAAAGCAATAAAGTGCATTTACAGATTAGGATGCCATTGAGCAACAAAATGAATAATATTTTACCGAGGCTTTTGCATGCAGTAATCAGGTGGTCCCTGTACTTTGGTTTTTTACACACAGGATTGCCACTCAAATCCATTTGAAGCAGCTGAGGCCAGAGACTGAACACATCCTCTAACTCCTGAAAATGCACAAAAACAGAAATTTAACCTAACGTGTGTTGTTTTTGTTTTAACCACTAATGTTTCAAATGGCAATACTGTGTCTCTTTGCTATGCTCAATAACTAAACAGGAAACGTAAAACGCAAAAGTAATGCATTTTTATGAAATGATAACTAATCAAAGACAAACATCAGACAAACTTTAAAAGGACATGCTATAAGTGAATGGTAATGTTAAGTACAAGGGCCAGTGGAAAGTGCATAAACAACATATCAGTCTATTTTAATAAACACTGTCGCCGGTGTCATGTAACTACAAGTTTTCTCCTGGGGCAGTGTGAGGCTGGCTCCTCTAGCGAGTTGCCTGCAGTTGTATGTTTATCTAAAGGCACATTAATCCAAGCCTGGAAATATGAATACTCTCTGGACACGCTCTGATTGTTCATTGCCTTCCTGTCTTGGCCAAAGCGCTTCCACTTTTCCAGCTCGTGCTGCAATCAGTTCAGAGGGGACCCCTGAGCACCGCGCGCTCCCAGGCTTTGATAAATGATCGTGTCAGGGCCGTCACTCAGAAGGCCCTCACTGAAGAGCAGCCCAGCGCCAAATTGCCCCCCACGCGGGGGCGTGGAGAACAGCAAAGGCTGGATACTCACTGAGCTTGGCTGGCTCTCTTGCCTGGACTAATGATGGGCCAGTTATGAACCTGTATTTGACCAGGGCTTCGATTCCCCTGTCCTCTCTGCCCTGCACACAGCTAACGGCCTCTGAAGATGCTCCCCATTTGTCACCCTGGCTGACTGCCTGTCATAATCTATTTTAAAAATCCATAACTTTTCCTCTGGATTCTGACCAAATGGTGCAGAAAAATGGATCAATCCTTTAGAGTGCTGTCTTTGCAGAATCAATAGTGGCAGATGGGTTGTATAAATTATAGGAGATTTCTGCTAAAAATGACACGTGTACAACAATTACCTGCATCACCGTTCGCAAAAGAAATCACTTATGCTGAGAAAGTAGCCTTAGCAAAGTATTCAATTATAAAGTGCTTTCAATGTGTCATCCCAGTGTTAAATCCTGGTTAAAAAAAAGAAGAATTTAAGTCCTTTTAAATGAAGTCATCAACCTTTTCAGTTAATATATCAATACAAACAGAAAAATGACTGCCATCAGAGAGTGAGCCTCAAAAACAAGCAGGTCATTTTTCAAAGAAGTGAGAGAGCATAAATCATATCTCTGCCACAGATGAATCTCCCATAAAGTTAAGTACTGGTGGTTTAGGGTATCAAATAGAGGATTCTAAGGCAGAGAGGAAAAATCAGCCTCCCAAGGAAAAGGAGAAACTTGTGCTTGTTTAAAGCTGTCAGTGAGAAAAGTCTCAGGGGAATGGCTCGCTGATTTGTTGAATAATTCTGACCCTGTGCAAGTCATGGAGACTGGGAACCTACAGCAGGATTTGCAGGATTTGGTTCTTTAGAACCCTGTTCTCCATATCATTTCACACATCACTGCAGAAAGCTACGGAACAATGTTTATGATGACCTGATCAACTACTAGACGGTATGTTGACTTTAATACGCTGTCATGCATATGGTGTGGTATTATTTCCTTTGACTTCACAGAGTACAGCAAGCAGTCAGTATTTACTTCTGCTACACCGGAGAAGAATTCTTCAATGGCAACTTGTTTCACAAACACTTTTAGTTACGTTTTTAAAAAGCCATATTTACCTCCATATTGTGCAGTTTATTGTCAGAGGCATAAAAATGCTGGAGTTCCTTTAACACTGCCAGGTCCCTGATATCATCAATGTTGTTATTATTGATATTCAGGACACAAAGAGATTCCTGTGTAAAGAATTCAGATTCACAAAGTTAAATTTACACAGTTAATTTTACAGTTAATACAATGACTATTACAAACAAATATCTCATTGTGGACCCTGAAGGAGCATCTCCAGGAGAGAAGGAAGAGAAGGAGAAAAACAAGCACACTTAAACAAGGTACATTCTGTGTGGTTGAATGTTTAACCTTACAGTTATTCAAATATGTAACAAAACTTCCCAGAAAAAGGCAAAAATCACAAAGTACTTTAACACATATTTATTATGGACACACCTAATAGGTCTGTTTACATAACCATAATTGTCAGATAATCTCTTTATGGTCACAGCTTCTGAGAGGAAGCACATTACAGAACTATTGTGTGTGCCCAAAATAAATTTGCACTTTACAGTATTTTTATCCATTTGGATTAGGCATCAACATTTGCTCTCTTTAAACGCCTGAACTACTAGGATCATGTCCAAATCATACTGTAGATAGTGCTGTTGTTAAATATTCATCTTGGTTTGAAGTTCTATAACGGCACATTTATAAAAAGCTGGAACTCTTTAAATTTGCACAGCAATTTCTTTAATTATCCAAACAAACAAGAAGCTGAGACTTTTGGTGTGTTTATCCATGGCCTGCCTTCAAGCAAACAGACCTAACTGATTTGTCAGACCAGAGAGAGCAACAGAGGTCTCTTTGACATCATCAATCCAAGCACAATATTGCTTTTACATGGATCACTCGTCTCTGAGAAATCAGAGATATGTGATAACCTACCGGGTTGATACACCACAAATATCCTTTTGTATAAAAAGTTAAAATTAGGCTTTCCTCTAACCTTTTGATTACTTAAAAAATGTATAATTTCAAATGACGAGAGACCAAATTATGTGGGGAGTATGTATCAACCTCTTTTTTCTCATACTATATTTGTAGTGAACAGTGTAAAAATAGGTCATACAGCGAGTGAGAGGAGAGTCCTGGGGTCAAAGAGCAACTTTTCCCCAGGTGCCAGCTTCTGATTCTCCAGATGAAGCTCCTGGAGTTCAGTGAGCTGCTCTAAGCCCTCCACCACTGTAATTCTGTTTCCACCAAGATACCTGCAGAGAAGACAAAACACACACATGATTATACAAACGTAAAACAGCACAGGACAACAATCAGTTAAAATTGTCTACTTACAGTTTGGAGAGCATCTGCAGATTAGAGAGACTGTCTATATGAGTAATGTTGTTGTTCTGCATATAGAGATGGGTGAGGTTGGAGGCAAAGCCAAGGTTGCAAATGTGTGTGATCTGATTATCATAGAGGTAAAGAACAGTGAGGTTTCTGCACATGGAGAGATCACCCTGAAAATAAAATGACAACGTCAGGCATAAAAGAACAAGAAAATCACAGAATTAAAATGTCAGCGTTAGTTATGCCTACTTACAATATCTTCAATATTCTTGCCTGAAAAGTGGAGGTGGGTAAGTGTCTTGAGGTACTCTGGGAAGGAGAGGCCCCTTTTCTTTTTAAAGTGGTTTCTAGATTTAGCAATCAGATCTATGTTCAGATGTACCATGGTGGCCCGTCACAGACACTGCTTCAGAGAGGATCCTTTTCAGCTTCAGCCAAGCATTCAGCCCGCAGCAGTGGCTACAGCTGTCTGTTGGAGAAGAAAAAAGACACATATGAGCTGAAATAGACCTTAGCAGGCAAACAAATGTTACTCTGATGAACTATTTACTAATACCAACTTACTTAAGCATTTGTAATCAGGAATGACAGACAAACATTAACCTTGTACAGAACTTTAAATGGCATAAAGCCTAACTGTCAATTCACAATTAGGGATAATTGATGAAAGAAAACATCACTATTCACCAGGAAACTTGTGAAGAGGCCAACGGGTGAGTGGCCACTCAATTTGTGTTGTAATGAGAATGGTCAATTCCCCAAGCAGTCTGAGCAGAGCTCCCACTACTTCCTCTTATTCAGTACCCATGGGTCTTGTATATTAGCTTGACCTGACATTGAGATATAAAATTGCACTTTGATCTCCCTTTGCAAATAGGCATTATAATACATCACCTCTCCATCTGCTAGTTATACGACAGTCAATACGTGTTAATAGTGACAGTAAGCTGAAATATAGTAGTGGGGAGCGCATGGAAGAAAGATGTGACAGCGGGTCTTTTCCACACTTGATCTCAAAGCATCGGACCGAGCAGTAGGAGACAAGAGGCACTGATCGATACGGCTGAGCTGAAGTATGGACATAAGCTATTGGTTAACTGAACTTATACACCCCTGGGCATCTTCTCTCTGGAGACTTGTGGACAGCAGTTAATCACTGTCAAATAAAGTGCGACACTCAAGGCTGTCCGGGTGCAGTGAGCAAGGGATAAGACATATCTATTAAAGTTAATGCAGATAACCAGTGGAAGGTGGGATCCACATAGTCAGAGAAGTCCCAGAAAAAATCTCAGAAGGGTGTTATGAATTAAAAATTCGCCCCGGACATATTAAAAAGCATTAGGCTGCCTCCAGTTAGCTTAAAAGCTATTGTAACACTGCAGCATTTTCTGTAACCACATTTAGCCTGATTTTCCCCTTATTATGATGAATTTGAACATGTGTAAAATATGAACTAAACTCTCCTACCTCTCTGGTGAGTAGCAAACTTTAAAATGCGGGCTAGCTAAACATTTTTACGTACGTATCGCAAGTTCGGCTGTTTTGTTTGAGGCAAGCAAAACTGTTGCCATGGAAACCACGGAAGTAGTGCGTCACACAAGTCACAGAATATGGTGCAACACCTACGAAGTAAGCAGCCATGTTTGTTCAGTTAGTTTTAGCAATATTATTAATGTTACAAACACACATTCATAACCATTGTTGCAACTTTAGAAAAAGACCAATAGTTACTAAATTAAACATCATATTAATTTAAGTTATTGGCATTTTAGTTGTGTAATTGCAAGTAAAAAATAAAAGAGAAATTGATATAGATAAATTATGGGTCTAAGAATTTACAAAATGTATTAATGTTATCTATTTTGTAGTGTAAGTGGTATTTCAAAATACAACAAATAAATAATAAATACAAATAAAAAAAAAAGGTGAACAATGTCCTTATGACACACACGTGAACACAAATCATATCAACTGAACTAAATGGAACTAAAACTTTCTGTTCATATTTTCTTACTTGCTCTCTCTACGCAGCAACAAGGACATTTTTCCAGGCTATAGTGTCTATCAAGGCAACATACCAAGTCAGGACCACAACTCTCTTCTCCCAGTGACCCCTGCATTGTTAATCTATTTCATGCCATGACCTGGGTTTCCTGTGAGGGAGTGACTTGCTGCCACTTATGCAGGAGCACATGGCAGAAAGGAAATGTAGCACCTTCTTAGCTGGGTTCAGCTTCACACACAGCACCACGGTTGTAGATTTATTTCTGCCGAGAGCCAAACTAAACATAATATCGCCTGATCTTAGTAGGGTCATTAGATCTATAGGGTCTAAATACTGTATCTTCCCATAACTATTAATCATGAGCCTCATCAATCTGCTGCTCTCATATCAGTGCCAAATCTCCCAGTTGTTCAAGGTTTTATTTTTATGTGGACAGCAAAGGCAAAGGCATTCCACTGCAATCTGTAAAAGCTTTTTGTTAGTAATGAGGAACATATTTTGGAATTATAAAATTGCTAAATGTTAAAAGAATAAAATAAAATTCACAGGTAATGGATTTTTGGCTGCCCACAATTTGACTTGATTAGAATTTACATAATTTTTCCTATTCCACCTTTAGTCATGCATACAAATGTCCATCTGGTGATAATCACAATATTTACATCTCCAACGAGTTCAATATGTTTCACTGATTCTTAAATCACCATGAAAGACCAAACATTAGATGAAACTATTTTAAAAGTGCATACTCTAAATATTTTCTCAGTACTGTGACAGTCATCCATGTAATACATTTAAATATCTGGCAAAAACATTAGCTATTCAGTAGAACGTGTGTGCAGAAAACCTATACAACAATCTCAAAATCCTAAATTACATTAAATATAATCTAATAAGTTTCCCCTTCCTGAACCGCTACACTGAACACCCTCCATTTTAAGACATGGCTTAAATAATGGTAAAAGAAAATCATTATAAGAAGTGGTGCCAAAACTCATGCGCATGAGAAAAAACAGACACCTCCTCTGTCCCACTGGGATTCTCTCCTTTGCAATACATGACATCAAAAATATACATGTAGCCATTACAATACCATAAAAAAAGACATGACACAAACCCATGTCAAAGTGGCTGTCTGTAAAAAAAGGCAGACTTGGTGAGTGTCTGCTTCGATGGAGAGCAGACACGTTGGGTGAATAGACTCCAGTGTGTACGGCTTCTGTTTCTGCACTGCATCACTGCCACACCACAGCCTGACGAGCTGGCCACTCTGCCGGACTGTGTACCACCGAGAGCCAAACTGTGCTGGGAGTGACTCCGCAGAGACATCCCACACATGGCAGCTGATTCCCTGTGAGCGTATGCAGAAACTTGAGTTTGTTGTTCCATTATGTAACGCTATGACAGACTACACTCGAAAGACTGACTGATGCTAGGTTAGGCTGTGCGTTAAATGTGTCCATAGTGTGTATCTAAATGTTCGGGTGCAGGAGAATATAGGCCCTAAGATTTTTAGCAACTGACGGGAAACAATGCTGCAGTACCTCACACCTTAAGATATATTTACATAGGACTGAAGATATATACCCCGGTGAAACTGTTCAATTTCCCAGGTACAATATACATTATGTTGCATAAGACAGACCTAAATAAACTCATGATTTTGTTTAAAAAGTATGAAATACCAACATACAGTGGTTGCATTTTTAGGTTTTATTTTTTGCAGCATGAATCCTGGGTGTATTCCTTAGCTACTTCAAAGACAAAAGAAGAATTTGAATAAAAAAAGTACTCCCAAGAGAACTCACAGATAATACTACTCTTAGCAGTTAAACCATAAACCAATAAGTGCTAGACATGCACAAGAAAACATTTCCAGGTGAGACTGTAATCAATCAGCTAATAGTTCAGGTTTAATTTGATGTGTTGATTTGATTGAAGAGTTTGTCCTTAATGACCTGCGACATCAGGCCATGAATTGCCTCTATGGTTGTCTTGCAGCTAAAACAAAGCACAGTGAAAAAAATGGAGATTAGTAATTATCCCAAACAGATACAGCGTACATAGAGATGTAAGATTTACATTGCTATCAGCAGACTTCCAAGAGTAATAAATAGTGATTCTGATTTGTAACCTCTTAATAGTACTTTTTCTCGATCCGTGAATCAGATATGACTATGAAACTATTATTAATAAACATTGGTGATCTTAGCTTGAATGATATTTTGGATGGTTTTAATCACAAAAATAATTATTTATAGTGTATAAATAAGACAAAATCATTGAAAAGTAATAATGCTACATGGTTTACATTGTTCTTTTTCTGTTTTTATTCACACTACTTGTAATTCAAAAGGGTTTTAAAAAAAAACCAATAGACCCCACAACTCATAAAATGAGTCTAGAGTTGAAATGATTGATGATCAATTAGTCCATTGACGTGAAATTAATCAGTAACTATTTTTTTTTATAATTGATTAATTGTTTTAATCATTCTCTGTTTTATTTCATTGCAAACTCAAACTCTGGGTATTTTTCTGACATTTATTGAGAAATAATCTGCAGATTAATCAATAATAAGCATAAGCTTGATTGTAGCATTAAATCAAACATTCAACAAGATTTTAAAACACACAAGAATTGTCATTAAAATTATTTGTTAAAATGTAATAAAAACAACTTCTTATGAGATTATAATTAAATTAAAATAAAGATAAAAGTGTACTATTGACAAATCAGTAGAGTTGGTAAATACTGTAAATCATGCAGAAACAAAATATAATGAAATTAATTAAAAGTTCTTTTTAGGATGTACAATATAGAGAAAGCAATGGGAAAGCAGGCTACAGCCAAAACAACACTGAAATTATACTGCCCAAAATAAATGAAAATCACGAGTTGTTGTTTAAGGAAAAATATTTACCTGTCTCGTGTTGCTTTGGCCAGTTTGTCCTCAGACTTCCTGTCATGTGTGTCCAACCCGAGCATGAAGCTGCCTCTGCCCAGCTGAGCCTCCGACTGCTCCAGCTTCTCCGACAGGTCAAACACCTGGCCCGTGGTATAGTCCGAGTTCTGACCATCCAACACACACACACACACACACACACACACACACACACACACACACACACACACACACACACACAAACACACACGCGCACACAGAAACCAATTCATGCACAATTTGCTAACAAAAGCTATATAACAGATTTTCCACAAAGAAGAAGAATTTTTGCAGAATGGCAACAAATCTGTCTAACAAGCTATAGGAACACTTTGTGCGCTGTGGTGAATGAAACGAAGTCAGGGAAAAGTTTGCTTAAGGTGAGGCCGTGTTTTTAGTGGAAAAGGTAATTAAAACACAATGACACAGGGGCCCCTGACTAGGGTGACAGTGTAGCAACTGACAAAGCATGTCACCCATGGAGCAGCTCATTCTTGACATCTAGTCAATTCATCTTCATCCAGAATGCCAAAGAGCTAACTGTTTGGATAAGCCTGATGCCTATTTAGACTGTTTAGTCAAGCTCGGGACAGAGTGACTGCAACCACAATGGGAATTCACATGAGGGGCTTTCAATCTTTAGAATGAACTGCAGGGGAAAAGGAGATGATCCACAGTGAACTATGACAGCATCTGTATCACTGGAGTCAGGTCCAGCTTTAATACTTATCTCCCTTGTTAAAAAGTCTAAATTAAGCTTATTACCAACATCAATAAACAAAGGCGCTTTGCTAACAGGCTGCAATAAATCACAACATCACAAGCTGGTGACCACATGTCTCAATGAGTTATAGTGTAATAATTAACCATAAATCAAAATGTCAAACAATTAGTGAATATTTTGATTTTTGAAGTTGCATACATACCGTGAGGAGACTTGAGGAGCTTAAGGTATTGACCCAATATTTATTCCAAAGGAGTTCCAGGAGCTTTCTATCAAGGGACGACTTAAAGTAAGTTACCTCCAAGGCGTAATACCTACATAAGACAAATCAAAAGCAAAGCAAAGCAAAAACATGAGACATACATGTATTCAGTCACAGAGTAAAGAACAAAACTGTATTTAATTACTGTAATTAATTTAAAAATAATTTACATACTTATGTAAGTATTCAATATGGTGACAACATTGTAATATACTGTATATCAACACTCACTGTTTACAGTGTACACCAAAGTCTTCAATCTTGTTCAGAGGGATTGTCTGATATTCGGAGGGTCCTTCATCGGGAGGTTTGTAACCCTGAAAATCCAAAAGAGGAAATACTGAGAAATAACAACAGAAGAAAAAGCTTTTCTACATTAACAAGGAATTAATTAACGAGATAAAAAGGCAATTACAAGATCACAAATTCTAGTTCATACAGCTTAATAAATACACAACAATAAAACGAAAATTTAAAAACTACAAATATGAACAAAAACACAAATGCACCAGAAAGCATTAATAGCTAATATTTTCATTACTTGAAACTTAAGAGAACTGCTGCTATATTTGCTTTACCTTTGGGTAGGTTCTGAAGGCGCCAAGGTTGACTTTCCCCGCAG